TAAACATAGCTGGCCTGAATTTGCATTGTCTCTTGGAGTTCCTTGGGCTAGGCCTGACACTTGAGCAAGAAAAGGTTCTTCCAAGCCTATTTAATTGGCTCTTTTGCTTACCATATATACTCACAGATAACCCGAGAATTTTAGGTGCCAAAATGCACCCCGAAAATCAGATTCGGCTTCTCCATGGATGGGCTTATCCACAAGTATATACAGTAATACTTTATAAAAGTAGTTCTGTATCCCGTATGTACTCGTGGATAAGCCAATCCTTGAATTTTTAACCAAAATACCAAGAAAAATGTGGGTTGGCTTATTGTCAGCCTTCCCAGGTAAACCAGACAGAAAACAGACCAGATGAGCTAATTCTACTTTATCGTAAGGCTACGTTAACAGAATCTCACAAGTCTGAAAGTACAAATCTCCCACCATCTCCTTTACAGCCTGATAAGTTAGGGAGGATCCTTTCTGAGTTTTTTTCTCTTCCCATTATGCAGCTGTGGACTGCCCCCCTCTTATCTGTTCAGTCCTTAGGCAGCATCTCTTCCCTTCATCTCCCAAAGTCATTCCCGCATACCATTACACCTATCCATGGATGGCATATTTTTCATGGTATTCTGGTTAAAAAATCGAGGGTTAGCTTATCCATGGACAGGCTTATTCTCTCTCTCTCTCTCTCTCTCTTTTTTACACGTACATTGTAAACTTTATTGAACAAAATTGACAAGAGCAAATAGGCACTTGTTAACGATGAGAGTTCAAGATCATAGCAGCCAACTTAGTTTGCATTTTACTGAGCTCTGTTGCTGTGAATCATACAGATCATGCACAGGTAATGACTTATTTGTACATTTTTCTCAAGTATTCACTGAATACTACCAACATATATACATTTACACATAAAGTTCCAGAAATTTAGTGAAGTTATTTTTGTTGACCATTTGGAAGTGGTCTTCTGAAAAGAAGGATATATGGTTCTGGTTCATGAATCATATAGTGGACCCAGCCAAGACTTTGCTGAACACCAAGCCTTCTCTATTCTTCTTCACATTAGATGTGTTTTTAGTACTTGCTTTGAGAGCTCTCTTGGTAGCATCACATGCCGGTATTCGTAGTTCTTGTCGAAGTATTTATCGGAATAATAGATCTGCTTATGAGCCATTATGAAAGAAATGGCAATGGTGGCGACCGCAGCGCTTCTGCTCCCAGCGAAATCGCCGTCCCGCCCTAGAGCTCGCCACTAACCAACTGCCATCAGGCTTATTCTCAAGTATACGCGGTAACTGCTGTCCTTACCTTGGACGCCTTTGCTGCTGTGTCTGTCTTCAGCCTGGTCTGCAGCAACTGACTTTCACCCTCTGCCAGAGTAAAGGGTTAAGATACGTGGATGCTTCCTGAAGCTGAAAGGATATGGAGGTTGAACTTGGTGGCCGACATCAGCCCAGGCATTTCCTGCTTTCAGGAAGGTGGGGGTGGAATACTGAGGTCCGTGGGTTTCCATAGGAAATGGAAAGCTATAGCTGCGACCCAGGGAAGGCTCTCTTTGGGCACCCCCGGGCACGCAGTGGTTTGTCCCACCAAGCAGACCTCTTCGGTCAATGGGAGCTGTCCTGGGGCAAGAAGAATTGCAATCCTCAGCTTGGGTCCTTTAAATTCTGCATCGAGGGAAGGGAATTCTGTAAGTGGGAGAAACTTGCACACGATGGCATTCTTGCGGTTGCTTGACACGGCGTTGTTTTGTTGTTGACATGGCGTTGGTGCAGTTTTGCACATTGGGGGGGGGTGCATTCTTGCTTTGCTGACCCTAAGTGCCAGAGCAGTCTTTCTCAACCTCGGCAGGTTTAAGATGTGTGGACTTCAACTCCAAGAATCCCACAGCCAGCATGGGGAATTCTGGGAGT